CCCGAGGAGGCGATGCTGCTCCACATCACTGCAGCAGCTCTGTGGAGTCAGAGCTCTGGGTCAGGGGGGTCTCGGCCACAGCACCATGGCCTGGGCAGCTGTGGGGACTCAGGTGACATGGGCATGGTGCCTTGAGGGGCAGGGAGGGCACATGACTGCAGGATCAGGGGTTGACAGGCCAGGGCTGGGAAATGGAGGGATCAGAGTGTCCTGGAACTCTCCATCTCTCTTGGCAGACCAGGTAGGACAGGCTCTCGAGGGTGATGGGTTGTAAGGGTTGTTGAGCCCTGATCCGCCAAGGCAGCTGAGCTCTGTACCTGTCACACGCTGGGGCACAGCACAGGAGAGTCATCACAACCTCATGAGGGTTTGTTTCAGCGAGGCTGCGGATGTCAATGTGCTGCCTGACATCTGGAGACAGGTGGAAGGTGAGGCACTGGTGGATGTACCTCACGATGGCCGGCACCTGGAGGGGAGTGGGGGAGAGTTGGAGAGCTGCCACAGTGAGCAGGGTGCCCAGCTTTCCCCAAGAAGGGCTTTCCTTCCCGCCACAGAGAGCAGCCTCAAAGGCTTAGGGGGCCCAGCAGACCCGGTTTGAGGGGCCACAAGACCCCTGGTGGGCAGGAGCCCTGGCCACAGGCTGCTTGCCTGCTTGCTTCTGATTGTAGACACCTTTCTCCTCTAAAAAGTTCAGACTGGGAGCTGTCCTGGGTTTCTGTGGCCAGGTCTTGGAAGCGAGGGTTCTACAGGGGTGGCCTCTCTTAGAGGCTGCTCGACGCTTCCCCCATGTGGCAGAGCCAATGCCGGCCGGCTCCAGGACGGAGCTGCTGCTGGCCAAGGCGGAGCCACTCAGGAATGATAGTAATGGCTCTGTGATCCCATATTTAAGAGGGGCAAGAAAATTCTTGTGCAGATGCAAACTGCAGCCAGGGAAGAAGAGAGTGAGAACATGTGAACCACAACATAGAAAGCAAGGAGGAGGAGGAACTCCAGAGCTGAGGTTGCCCTGCAGCCCATGGTGCAGATCCTGGTGAAGCAGCTGTGCCCCTGCAGCCCATGGAGGAGCACCAGAGCACAGAGATCCCCTGCAGTCTGTAGGGCAGCCCCAGTGGCAGTGGGTGGATGGCCAAAGGAGGCTGTCAGTTCGTGGAAGGCCCATGCTGGAGCTGGGTGCTGACAGGGACCTGCAGGCCATGGACAGAGCCCACTCTGGAGCAGGTTTCCCTGGCAGGACTTGTAGCCCTGTGGGGGACCCACACTGGAGCACCTTGTTCCTGAAGGAGTGCACCCCATGGAGGCATCTGGATAAGAGGCAGCCAAACCCCCTGCCATGGGGACAGCAGAGCCCACAAGTGCTCACCTCTGCCATGCACTGGTTCTCATCATCCCAGCGGAAGAATGGGACCAGGCTCTGGTGCACATC